AGATAGCTCAGTAGAATAAGTGCTTGCCTGGCAAGCGCAAGGACCTGAGTTCACTCCCTGGTTCCACCAAAAAAAAAAAAAAAAAAAGGTATACTCCTTAGATGACTTAAAAACCAAAAAACACAAAACTTCAGTAAGTCTGTACCACTCTACCATATACTATTGCACTATACAGTGAGCACACAGCAACACGACTGTGACAATGGCCAGCAGACATGACAGCAATTTTCACAATTGGTTCACATCTATGAATGAATTCGAAGTCCATTTGTATTTGTGAAAGTTTGCAACTCAAATGTTCATAATGCTGGAGCTTACTGTAGTGCAAATTTTAATACATAGAGATAAGAATACCTATACTTATTTTTTCTGATTCAGAAACTTTAGTCTTGAAAACAGCTTTAGTGGGGTAAAGTTGGTCTGACTGCAGAGCCACTCTGCCCTTCCACCTACTGATGTCAAGATTTTAATGTGTAGAAGGATCGTGTGAGAGAGCTTGTTGAAAGATGTTTGCTGGGTCCCACCTCTGAAATTTCTGATACAACAGATCCAGGGTGTTGGCTAAGAATGTGTTTAGAATAATTCCCAGGTGATACTAACACTGTTAATTTGAGAACTACACTTTTAGATTGAATGTCCTACATTATCTTGTCTTACAAATGCTGTTTAGACCTCACACTGTGGACCTTTATGTTTTATTATAAAGTAAAAGTGATTTGTAATCCTTCATTTTATGACTTAATCTTTGATTTGTAAGAAATTAACATATATTGATCTACTTTTGGATTTCGATAGACTCCACTATGTTAAATTATAAATTACTGTTATATAAATCATCTCTAATAACTGATCAATCCACTGAATTCCTTTTCTTAAATCATGAAAAAAAAAAAAACGTTCAGAGGGAAAGTTTCAGATACTATAAAACTTTCAGATACTAGTTTTAGTAATAGTTATTTTAAATATGCTGAGATAGGATACATTTTATAGTGGGATAATACTGTTCCATGGGGTTTTGAAAATGACATTTGTGTAAGAGCACTTTTCTTCTAGGAGTTTTGAAAGTTACTGAAGATCAACCTCCATAAGGACATTACAAACTATTCAGATACACACACTAAACCTGATTCTACCTAGAGATGGTGAGTCAGGATAGAGTCCACGCCTGAAATGAAACTACAGAAAATAATAAATTAAAATCCTGACACCTAATGGTATTATATTCTGACTTAGTCTCCATACCTCCTGACAAGGAGAGTAGGAAAGTTCAGCTCTGAAGACCAACCCATGAAAACGGATTTAACATACTTCCCTAGGGATGGGCATCAGGGATTGATATTCTAAATAAATATCAATCACCTTGAAAGAACCCAAATGAGTCACTAGTCCAACCCCCAACAGGAAGAGAATCTGTCCCCTATTGCTACATGACTCATTTCCCTATTTGCTACTCTATTTAATCAATTTTACCTGAGCATGGTGCTTGTAATCTCATTGGTTGACCGTAACTTTGTCCCACCTCATGCCCACCTAAGTGAGTTCCCATGTTCTCCACTACCTTAGACCCGCCTCAGCATATGGTTTTACTCTATAAAAGTCCCTGGAAGAAAAAGCTTCCTGGGGATAACCTACTCAGGCCCCCTCTCCTGTCTGTCTCTTGGTTAAGTGCTTTCTTTCCCCCAATAAATGTATTCTGCTCATAAAAAAATGGATTTAACAAATTATGCGTCCTAAATCTGCCTCCTCCTTTCCTACATTTGTTGAATTAGTGATTATTAAGTAAAAACCCCTGTGGAACACTGCTTCAGCATTTTCATATTCCTCATTTTCTTATCAACTGAAGTGTTGGACTACCTCTGGGGTAACATAATCAGTCTAAATCTCAGCTCTCTGCTTGGCAATTAATAGCAGGAAAGCCTCTAAACTATACAAATTCTAAGTTCTAAATCACATTTTATTTAGGGTAGGGGACCAGACAATGCTGTTTTTAGGTGGAAAGGAAAGGGCGTTACATTAGTGCTGCTGTCTACCAAGAAGGAAAGTAGTAGCTGTGCTGCTCCTTCCAGTGGCTGCCACAGCGGGGCATGGCCTTCAGCCCAGCCCACAAAGGAGGTGTCAGACTGCTTTCTTTAACTGATGGAAAGGGTGATGGAGGTTTTCGGTATCAGATCTTTGGCTGAGCAAGGGGGTGTATTTTGTACAAGAAGATAATTGCTTTGGCCTTCTATAAGTCAGTAGAGCCACTGAATCTGCTGACATTTATGCCAGACTAACCACATCTATCTTTCTCAGGATCTTTTAAAGCTAATAGTCTATAGGAAAGGACCTTCATAATCCTGTCCAGCTCTCTGAGACTAAAGATTTTAAAATCAAGCAATCATTTTATGTCAAGGAAGAACAATAACAAAAGGGTTGTGTTATGCTAGAATTTCAATAAGTCGGAGACTTATGTACTATTCCCCATCTTCCCCTTCCTACGTGCTGTTTTTATAAATAGAGGTTTTATGGGGAAGGCTGAGTTTTATGCATGTCATACCAAATGTTGCAGCTGAAGCATTCACTTATCAAACAATCAGATCTTAATTCCTCACCTGCCAAATTCTCTTTCCCTACAAATGAACATTCTCTGGTGAATTCATTCTGAATGCACTTGGAGCTTAGGCGGACCATCCTTATGAAATTTGTTGCAGCTGCAAAAATGTGCCCCAATATGAAAATAAAGTCTCTCATGGACCTCAGATTCAAAGTTGGCCATTTATGTGACTCCCTTCACTTCTGGCCTACATTGGTAAATGAGGGGGGGGTCAGTTACTTCCTCAGTTTATATATGCGTAATACCAAATGGTTAGGGAAGCTGGTTTTATTATTATAGTTTCACTAAATGCACTAATCCTCCATATTTGATGACTTTAAAAAAAATTATATAAATACATGCTCATGCCTATAGTTTGGCTCCTATATAAGTTAACGATTTCAATGACCATTTAAAAATACACTTAGAGTAATTTAAGGTCACTGTAATCACATTTTAAGCAGTGCAATATTTTTGTAAATTTAAATAAATTGATTATATTTGGTGGCAATACATTCATGTCACTGATAGTGTTAAATCAATAGATTGTATTTCTATCATGTAGAGATGGAAATTAACCTATGTGATAATGTGGAGGTGTAGTATTTCTTTAAAGCTGTAGGTGAGAGAATTAGCAAAGAATTAAGATATCAATGACATTCAAAAATTTTGATCAGAAATGATATATTGAATCTGTAAAAATTTTAAAACTAGACTTAAAAATAAAATTTCTTAAGTACAACTTGACTCATCCAAATATTTAATTTTTAATATTTTTCCATACACTAATTTTTCCCCCAAAACCAAATAGTTGAAGATATTAAAATATATTCTAATATTATAGAGCCAATGTATATCCAGTCTGGTCCATGTGTCATGGAATCTGACTTAATTTTCAATCAATAAAAATGGATGAATATATAAAATCAAAATTTTATTCCTGGCATATATGTATTCCTTTCTTTTTCTTCTTCCTAGGCTGGTAAATACACATTACCTTTCCACACCTGGGATTAGGGAGTTAGAGCACAACATATGCTTAATTAAATATGGTTTTGCCCTGCAAATCCACCAAAATTACACATTCATTGAAAACTATGTCTCTATTTTAATCAAATTTTAAGATTGCTCTAAAATATGGCTAGGAAGGAAGCTATGAATAGGAGTTTGTGTCTTACATTTTAGTAATTCTTTAGAATTCCCTTCACACACGCAAAACCTTAGAAAATATTGTGCTTTAACCTTTGAAGAAATGTGCCTGTGTAAAAATTTTAGATGATTTGTGAACACAATTAGTGACAAAATTTTAACGACATTTTTTACTTTTGTTAATGTTGGCCTGTATTCTTGTTCAAGGAAACCAAAATATTTCTCCCAAATATATGAAGGATTGTTGAGCTGACAATAAAAATGCGGTGAGGCTTCTAGCCTTCTCAGACTGTTTTCCTAAATGCAGGACAAAGATTCACAAAGACAAAAGGTTTTTCTGTATTCCTCCCACTTTCCTGCCTAAAGACAGGATGTAAATTTTCCTTTGCAACAGATTGTTTTTCAGATGAGATGCTGCAGGCCTAGAGAAATCTGGGAGCAGACCTTATGCCTACCCACAGTTCTCCCACATTTGGAAGCCTGGACTGCTTTCTTCTTTGTCCTGTCACTTTTCAAAATGTACTGCTCATTGTTGAAAGTTACATAAGCTGAGATACCAAGCCACTGCCTCGAGTTACTGTGGCACTGAACTTGTCACAGTGCACTGCGCTCATTAACAAGATGATTGTATTTCACTTGGTCTTGTTGAGAGGTTTTCCCTGTACAGATTTTAAGGATCAAAGAAAACTTGTATTTCCTTCAGTATATTTGGAGATGGTTTCCTCTACTATCTGAGATAAATCTCAAACTGCACTTTTCTCACTGTGGGGAGATAATGTAACTGACTATAAAGAGTTCAATACAGAGAATATCTGTTCTCAAGAGCAAGTTCCCGTCAGCCTCGTTGAACTTCCACAAACTGAGGATCATTTTATTGTATTTATGGATAGTTTCATCCCTTGGCTCCTATTTGCTTGGAAGGCATCTTCATAGCAATGTACTTGTTCAGTAAAAGCAATGAATAGGACTCTCCATGCAAGAGAAATTGGAGCTTCCTGACATGCACGTGACTTAGAAAAGAAAAACAAAACAAACAAACAAAAAAAGGTGCCTAGAGATGCTGGCAGTTTTAACATTTGGAACCAAAATTCTTATATATATTTACATCCTAACTGCTCAAGTTTACCTTACAAGCTTCAATTTAGGAAAATATACAGTACTTTTGCATATAATGGTAACTTGTGAGCCCCTGAGTCGAGTAGAGAGAATTTAAATACAAAAAGGAAAAACAGCCATTAAAAGCACTTACATTGTATGTGGAATAAATAGTACAAAATGATTATTTCCCTGGAAGACCAGGATCAGAAACATGCCTATGAAGACTCAAGATTCCTGTGGTACTCAGGGAGGAATCTGGCAAGGAGGGATGCCTAATCGGATGAAAGTAAGTTTTTCTTTGTCGCAGGTGAAGCTCTAAAGAGACATCACTGTCTTGTTTTAAAAGTGAAGTCAAGTTGTCTTCTGAAGCTGTGTTCAGGTGTACCCCACTTGAGAGGGATTCTTTGGATTTCAGTTTAGATTTCTCAAGGTCTAGAAATTCAGGGCACTGACAGAAAGAAGAAAAGAAAACACTTCTTGTAATTCACAGCAACAGTCAGCTAAAATCACTGTCATGAAATCCAGATGTTTTTTCTTATTTAACCTTATTTGATTAGTATTAATAACCAACATTTTCCTAAAATGCTTAAAACACTGGAGGCTCAATTATTAGTTTACACAATCCTACAATTCCAGGAATTTTAATTTTACTCTAAAGTCAGATTAAGATGAAGATTTGAAAGATATTGTTTTACTTTGAGTTTTCTAAATGATTTTTTTTTCCAGACAAAGTCTTACTGTGCAGTTTGGGTTGACCTTGAGCTCACTGAGTAGCCCCCAGGCCAATCTTGAACTCACAGTGCTCCTCCTATCTCAACCTCCAGAGTGCACCATGCCCCATTCCATCTAAATGAGTTTTAATTCAACATTCATGACAAAAGCTGAGGCAGGAGATGGGGTTACTTGATTAGTTGTACATGAGAAAGACAAATAGAAAGAAAAAAGTAAATTTGCCAATCTCATTGGATAACATATTTAAGTCCATTGAAAACAAACAACAACATGCCTGGTTTTACACGTTTTGATCTCTTGCTGGTCCTCCTGCCTCCGAATCCTGAGTTCTGGAATAACGGGCATGTGTCACCATGCCTGGCTACTTCATCCTTAGTGAGATCATCATTCTTTGGTTGCATTTGGCTATGCTATTTAATTCATTAAAACAAATTCCAAAAATAGAATTCCTAGGCAGTTAGACCTTTCCGGCTAACCTAATTCAAAGAGACATTTTCCAAGAAAAACAAGATAAAGGGTACTTTGCATTGTTCTTTCTACCATGCCTATCATTCAAGTTCAAAGAAATTAGAAATCTCTGGTAATGAGCAGAGCATGGAGAAGTTACTAATCTGATTATGTCTGAGCCTCAGGTGTAATCTGGCCCACTTTTACTTCTCTTTCCTTCCAGAAACCTATCCGCCCTGTCTCTCTCCATTGGATTAAATTGCAGATTTTTTTCTCATGCAGTTTTTGGGTTTAGGAGTACTCCTAACTTTCAAATCTCTGAAGCACATAAATTTACACAGGATGATTCTTTTATCTTTTCTTTCTTTTTTTTTTTTTGGCAGAACCGGGGTTGAACTCGGGCCCTTGCGCTTGCCAGGGAAGCTCTAATTCCACTGAGCCATCTCCCCAGCCCCAAAGTACCTTCTTCTTCTTCTTTTTTTTTTTTTTCCTGGCAGAACCGGGGATTGAACTCAGGCTTTTGCGCTTGCCAGGGAAGCACTTATTCCACTGAGCCATCTCCCTGGCCCACAGGATGATTCTTGAAAGAAATATTTTAAAAAATGCTTACTAGTATTTAAAATTATTCTTCTAGGTCCATTATCCTCAAAATTCAAAGGAGCATAATGCAGATCAAAGGGCTCATTATCAGAAACTGTAATTGAGTAGAAATACAAGTTGACGTAGAAGTCTGTATTTTCCACAGCATTCCAGGAGGTCTTATGTGGTCTCTGGACATGCTGAGATATGCTCTCTGCAGTGCAATATCTACACTCACTTGGGAGGAGGGGCTGAAGCTCCGGTCTGTCTTAATGGAGGCTGCGGGATGACTGGTTCTCATCAGACGGAGGAGGGGTCTCTGATACTCTGCTCCTGCAGTTACCATGCTGTAGGCTGGGGGGACCACCGGGGTTTGTTTCTGCAGCAGCTGTAGAATGGTCTGGATGTCTGCTGTCACCTGGGATTCAAGTCTGCAGGACAGACAGGAGAAGGAAAAGCAGTTCTAACACAGCCAGCATGGCAAGAGCACCTGAAAAAACTTCAGTACTTCCAGCAAGCAGGACGATGGCCCTGCTTTAAACAAAAACGGCAGGAAAGGGAGCACAGAGAGTCTTTCCCAGCTGATCTCACTCCCTGCTCACTAAGGATCTGGTGGAGACCATTACTATCCTGCCTATGTACTGAGATTTAGCAGCACAACAGTTGAAAGGAGTGCGCTGCACCTTTACTAACCTCTATTGAATTCAGCACATAAAACATGCTAATTTATTTTAATCAGTAATTATCTTTGACTATTTATTAGACTTTGTAGTTCTGAACATTTGCTCCTTAAAGGAGAAAATGGTATTGCATTTCATTTATAGTTATAGAATCTCAGGACAATTTCTTACGTGTTTCAAATTTATATTTACATTATTTTATTATATATTTCTCCTGTTCAAAGCAAAAATATATTGTTCATTGTACTTTCTCTTTAATGTTAAATATTGTAAAATGCTTATTTTCCCATATGCAGAACAGAGCTTTGGGATTTAAGAAGCAAACTAACCTCTAAAGTTCATATGTTTCTATGACCTAGGTGACTTGCAAATACTATTGTGACCTTTGTTTCTTCCAATGTTCACAAATATCCAGGTGAATTGCTCATATGATTATCACTTGAAATTATGATCATTACTTGACATTAAAATTCCAGGAAAGAAAAGGGTAATAAATTAAAACAAGAGACAAGAAAAAAATGTCACATGACTGTCCTGCTACAATGCTATATATGGTTAGATTTCTAAATGTCAACGTAAAAGTATGTAATTGTTTATTCCTATTTTATTTAAATATTTTTTATTTTTAAAATTTTTTTTCTTCATATTCTGTAGGAACTTAAGGGTTAACATATCAATACATGATGGAAAATACCTGTTCCATGTTATGCCTAAGATGTTTGATATTCAGCCCGATAGTGAGAGTAAGCTCAACTGCCTATGTTGTAGGCTAACAACAATAAGCTTCTCTTCTGGAGGGTTAACAACCTAAGTTTGCAGACCAAAAATTAGAGAAAAAGAAGAGCTGCAAGGACAGCCAACATTTTGGCCCTAGCCTTTCAAGGTCAATGAAGACTCAGGGCGTAGGAGATCCTATACTGTAACATCATGTAACTCAGCTGTGTCCCAAATTTTCTGATCAAGAAGAGTATGGAGCCACAGAAGAAAGTGATCAATGATGTAGAGTGTGCCTAAGGAGAGTCCCATGAAGGGAAAATATTCTCTCAGGCTTTCACAGAGAGCAAATTGGTCAAGCAATGACTGTGACTCATCCACAAGGCTGACACTGGCAAAGGATCTACAAACTGTGGTACAGGGTTTCAGGCTAAATCCTGAGGGGATTTGACTGACCTTATCAGATACAAAAGCTACATTTCCTGTTATATAGGTCTTGCTTTATCTTGGTCTTAACTATCCAGCAGAAAAGTATAAAAATGAATTATAAAAAGTAAAGCCATATTAAGATGATGAGACGTAAAAGGCTCAAGTGAACAACTTCTGACCTGCCAGTCTTATGGAAAACCCATTACTATTATGAACTACTGGACTATATTGGATTATTTTGCTTAATTCACGCACCTATAATATTTAAATGACAATGGAATACTCTTCTCTGACAAAACTAAACAAAAAAAGGGGATACAAATGAACAACCATTTTGTATCTGTATATTCAAAATAGTTATGGTAGATATACAACTACATTCTCTTAATTCAATGAATAGAAAGATTTTTTCTAATAGTGTTTGTGAACAGGATATGTCTGCATCTTGTACAATGAATAACCACTAAGACAACAATATGCAATGTATTAAGTATTGAAACTGTCCTACTAATCGGTTTTGAAACTGTCTCATTGCTATTTGTTTCTCAATAAAATGATTAAAAAATAAAATTAAAGGAAAGGTGGCATAACATATTTGGTTGATTTCCCTTTGCTGCCTTTGTTAACATTACAGACAGAGGGGATTTCGTCGGTGAAAGGACAGAAAAGTTGTATCATGTCCATCTTTGGAAAATTCTCCCAAATTGTTACTTGTTTGTGCTATTTTGTGTCTGAATGAAAATGTGCAACAACAATGAAAAAAAAACCTGAGAAGTAATTTTGTTCAATTAAGCACATTCTTTATCTGTGAAACTTCAAAAGAAGTAAATTAGACTTTGACTTGAAAGGAAGCCAAAGAAACATGGAAAATATGAAAAAGGTAATTTTTCTATTTCTTCTAATTATAAGCACTCCCAATCTTTCTTTTGAACATCATAGAAATATATCCTTAAAGTTTTCTATAACTAGTAACATACTAGACACTTCAGTGTCTTCTAAACAACAACAACAAAAAAACAAACTATACCTTTTACCTGATACACCTTGTCTTTTCCAGCACCACACACCAAAAGGGTAAAAAAGTTATCAGTTGGTTTGTTCACCTACTTTTTAAATAACATCCAGTATTTATGGCATGGACTAAACCAAATACAGATTCATCAATTTTTCTTTTTATTCTTCAAGATCAAACTCAAATTTTGTCTGTGCCCCCACATCTTCCTTTATTTCAGACAAAATTACTGTATTTTCTTGCTCTGAGCTTCCAAAGAAAATTCTACACTGAAGCCTCATTCTAAGTATTTTTGCATAAATTTATCTCATTATTCATAGCATTCAGTAATGGATAGCTTATATGATAGGTACTACCTTATTACCCTTATTACTGAGACAAATCATTAAATATAAAAGGCTTTAGAGGTAGGTACTAGAACAAAGACTCCAATAACAATTAGAATCCAGGATCCAACAGAGTTAAAAATTATGATGATTTTTGAATCCTGTCAGATCTTTGTTAAACAGTGTAATCTCTGAAAAACACAATCTCTTTCTGACAGATTGTATCCATTTGAAAAATATCTAAGAGATAAGGTATAAGTTATACACATGGGCAGAATTAATAAGATAAATACAGACACATACATATGCTGGTGACTAGTAAGACACACCAAAGTCAGGGTGAAAATGTGCAACAAACAAGAATGGTGTTTGCGATAGAAGGAGATGGAAGGAACAAATTATTTTTATGTCACTTCTGGGAAGACAACTCCTGCCCCCCAATTTGACCACTTGTTAAGACTTGCAGGAAGTCTACCAAAAAAGGTCAGTAAGGTAGATAGCTGTTGAATAGGCGAAAAGTCACAGCTGTGTCCATGTGGACCAGGCCATGTTTCTGTGATGGCTCCAGCGTACGACATTGGCACAGATTTTGTTTTTGTCCCTGAACTCCTGTGGGGAGACTTCAAGTCTGCTCCTTATGACCAGGCTACTGGCAAGGAAGGCTGATGAAACAGATATGGGACATGCTGTAAATTAGGATTCAAGTAGTGTGATTCATTCACTGTCCTTGCACTTATTTGAAATGTACTAATTACCCCATCTGGGTCTCCTTATCTCTCACTGTGTGCTTTAAATTGATTTAAAACATCCTATGATTTGAGCATTTTAGTTTAATCCATGGAGGGTTTCCTCCACTGGGGTGTACTGGAAGACTACCCTTTGACTAAGGCACCTCCTCAAAAGAAACATAATCAAAGTATCTATAAAAGAGTCATAGTTTTCCCCTGAATCTTTTTAACTCTTTTAATTTTAACAAGACTTGGATGAAAACATTATCTCCTCTGCAAAATTAAAGTTTATTGCTCATGGTAAACAGTCTGAATCAAAATTAAGAGGAAAATGGAAATACTATGGTCTTTAGCTTGCAGAATTTTTAATTCATCCACATTTTAGACAATGTGACTAGTTGCGTAAGTCACTTTTTTGTTACTTTTAGATGCTATAATACATAATGAGATTACCAAGGGCAACGGAAAGATATAAAAAGTTTAAAAGAAGAAAGGTGTTAGTTACCAAGTTAAT